ACATAAGAAATACAAGGACTGCCATTGCTATAGTATTCCAACAAACATTTACTGGGGGGGAATTTATCAAAACTGGAGCAGACAGAACCTGGAGCAGCTGTGCATGGCGACCAATCAGCTTCTGCCTTTTATCTTCAAAGCTTAACTGACCAAACTGAAGAGAGAAGCTGATTGGCTGCCATGAGACCAGGGGTGTCCCGAGGCTGAGTGTCACCCGGAGCAGTTACCGAGTTACACCCCACCGTGGCGTACCGCGCATGCGATCTCATTGAAACCTGCCGGCGGCCATCTTGGTGATGGACGCCAGCACAGAAAGGAGGTGACAGACACCAGGCGGGATGAGGTATGCCGCCGGGTCCCCTTCTCTCTCCCGAAACTGCCGGGCTCTCGGTCCATGACCGAGTGCTCCACTTTTCAGAGGGGGGTGACACCAGAATGACTGTTGGTCATTTTAATGTCACCCCTCCAATGGTGTCACCCCCTCTGTACCCCCTTTGTGACGCCACTGCATGAGACAACTGCCCCAGATTCTGTCTGCTCCGGTTTTCATAAATGGTGAATGAAAATCTGAGGAAACTCCAAATTCGACAGGAGGATTCTATGAAAACTGGAGCCGACAGCATCTGGAGCTCTGAAGATAAGTGACAGAAGCCGATTGGCCGCCATATGACAACTGCTCCAGATTTGATAAATTCCCCTCATTATCGCTATACCTGTCATAGGTCAGTGCTCACTTTGGAACCTGAGTCTGGCAGCCAGAACATGAGCATTCCCAGATCATGTATCTCATGACAGGTCCCCTTTAGACATCACCGAAAATGGAAAATTGATGTTAAAGTGAACGTATCGAGCGGAATAAAAGAAGATCATTGGACACTGTGGTTGGAGGGATCCCGGGACAATTCCAGGGACGATTCATGGAAGGCCGGGACAGTTGTCTGCCAGCTTCTAAAGGGTTAACGCCAACAGCAACTAAAGAGTTAATGCCGCCAGCCACTAAAGGATTAACGCCGTCAGCCTCTAAAGGGTTAACGCCGTCAGCTTCTAAAGGGTTAACGCCGTCAGCTTCTAAAGGGTTAACGCCATCAGCTACTGAAGGGTTAACGCCGTCAGCTACGAAAGGGTTAACGCCGTCAGCTACGGAAGGGTTAACGCCGTCAGCTACTGAAGGGTTAACGCCGTCAGCTACTGAAGGGTTAACGCCGCCAGCTACTGAAGGGTTAACGCCGTCAGCTACTGAAGGGTTAACGCCGTCAGCTACTGAAGGGTTAACGCCGTCAGCTACTGAAGGGTTAACGCCGTCAGCTACTGAAGGGTTAACGCCGTCAGCTACTGAAGGGTTAACGCCGTCAGCTACTGAAGGGTTAACGCCGTCAGCTACTGAAGGGTTAACGCCGTCAGCTACTGAAGGGTTAACGCCGTCAGCTACTGAAGGGTTAACGCCGTCAGCTACTGAAGGGTTAACGCCGTCAGCTACTGAAGGGTTAACGCCGTCAGCTACTGAAGGGTTAACGCCGTCAGCTACTGAAGGGTTAACGCCGTCAGCTACTGAAGGGTTAACGCCGTCAGCTACTGAAGGGTTAACGCCGTCAGCTACTGAAGGGTTAACGCCGTCAGCTACTGAAGGGTTAACGCCGTCAGCTACTGAAGGGTTAACGCCGTCAGCTACTGAAGGGTTAACGCCGTCAGCTACTGAAGGGTTAACGCCGTCAGCTACTGAAGGGTTAACGCCGTCAGCTACTGAAGGGTTAACGCCGTCAGCTACTGAAGGGTTAACGCCGTCAGCTACTGAAGGGTTAACGCCGTCAGCTACTGAAGGGTTAACGCCGTCAGCTACTGAAGGGTTAACGCCGTCAGCTACTGAAGGGTTAACGCCGTCAGCTACTGAAGGGTTAACGCCGTCAGCTACTGAAGGGTTAACGCCGTCAGCTACTGAAGGGTTAACGCCGCCAGCTACTGAAGGGTTAACGCCGTCAGCTACTGAAGGGTTAACGCCGCCAGCCTCTAAAGGGTTAACGCCGTCAGCTACTAAAGGGTTAATTCCGTCAGCCACTAAAGGGTTAATGCCATCAGCTACGAAAGGGTTAACGCCGTCAGCTTCTTTAAGGGTTAACGCCGTCAGCTATTAAAGGGTTAACGCTGTCAGCTATTAAAGGGTTAACACCGTCAGCTATTAAAGGGTTAACGCCGTCAGCTACTAAAGGGTTAACGCCGTCAGCTACTAAAGGGTTAACACTGTCACTCATTGGGGGGGGGGGGTTGCACACTTTGCACTTTATACTTTGTTACTATATAAGAGGAAATACAAAGAGAAACATTGTAGATGGGGGAGACGCAGGCTGCGCTCAGACACTTCCCAGGCACCTTGCTCTGCTGTCTGGTACTGCAATGGTTAATCACCCCTTCCCCCCCTCCTCCTCCCTGCAGGATCTGCATGCCCCCCTCCATCTCCCTCCTGATATCTGCACGCACTGTACACAATGCATGCACCCCCCTTCCTCACCTGCCCTGCACAGCCTGCGCACCCCTCAGGCACTCACAGGGGGGACGTTGGGGCTCCTGGGTCTGGGGGGTCTCCAGAGGCACAGGGGACAGCGACTTGTGCATGTGCCAGAGAAGGAAGAACCACCCAACCCAGGAGCCAGTTCCTGAACAAAGCCCTGCCTGACTGAGGCATTGTGGGGGATGTAGTCTTATCCCAGGCTGCTCCTGCCTGAATGAATGAACACAAGTGTCTATGAACCTGAGCCTGGTGCACGCTCAATGCAGCAATCCACCAGACAGGAGCTAGGCCACATCCACCCGCCTGCACAAAGCAGGCAAACCTGAGGATTACTGGTCCGCAAACACAGCGCAACCAGTCCAAATATAACCCAAAACCAGCGAGAAAAATAACCCGCTCGCTTTGTATCGTCCGCGTCATAAATATTTACCAATTCCCCAGATAAAATCCTTCTCTAGTTTCCAATTCCTGAGATACAAATTAATCAGATTTTTATTATATGAAATATTCTCCCGATGTCCCGAGATTGTTCCTTGTTTAAATAAAATGTCCCGTGTTTATGAATTATTTATTTTAAATATTCTCCCAGTTTAATCAATATTAAAATAAAAGGTCCCCAGTTCAATATTTTTTATATAAAAATGTCCCTACTTTATTTGTTCTTTATTCTGTATAAGAAAACAAATAAATTAGGGACATTTTTATATAAAAAATATTGAACTGGGGACCTTTTATATTAATAATGATTATTGGTGGTGTCATAAATATTTACCCATTCCTCATATAAAATCCTTCTCCAGTTTCCAATTCTTCAGAAAAAATGAATCCATTTGTTTTATGAAATATTCTCCCGATGTATTCATCCTTCATGTCCCGAGATTGTTCCTTGTTTAGATAAAAAAGAGATGGGGAGAGAGAGAAGAGAGAGAGAGAGGAGAGAGAGAGAGAGTGGGAGGAGAGAGAGAGAGGGGGGAGGAGAGAGAGAGAGAGAAGAGAGGGGGAGGAGAGAGAGAGAGAAGAGAGGAGAGAGAAGAGAGGGGGAGGAGAGAGAGAAGAGAGAGAGGAGAGAGAGAGAGAGAAGAGAGGAGAGAGAAGAGAGGGGGAGGAGAGAGAGAAGAGAGAGAGGAGAGAGAGAGAGAGAAGAGAGGAGAGAGAAGAGAGGGGGAGGAGAGAGAGAAGAGAGAGAGGAGAGAGAGAGAGAGAAGAGAGGAGAGAGAAGAGAGGGGGAGGAGAGAGAGAAGAGAGAGAGGAGAGAGAGAGAGAGAAGAGAGGAGAGAGAAGAGAGGGGGAGGAGAGAGAGAAGAGAGAGAGGAGAGAGAGAGAGAGAAGAGAGGAGAGAGAAGAGAGGGGGAGGAGAGAGAGAAGAGAGAGAGGAGAGAGAGAGAGAGAAGAGAGGAGAGAGAAGAGAGGGGGAGGAGAGAGAGAAGAGAGAGAGGAGAGAGAGAGAGAGAAGAGAGGAGAGAGAAGAGAGGGGGAGGAGAGAGAGAAGAGAGAGAGGAGAGAGAGAGAGAGAAGAGAGGAGAGAGAAGAGAGGGGGAGGAGAGAGAGAAGAGAGAGAGGAGAGAGAGAGAGAGAAGAGAGGAGAGAGAAGAGAGGGGGAGGAGAGAGAGAAGAGAGAGAGGAGAGAGAGAGAGAGAAGAGAGGAGAGAGAAGAGAGGGGGAGGAGAGAGAGAAGAGAGAGAGGAGAGAGAGAGAGAGAAGAGAGGAGAGAGAAGAGAGGGGGAGGAGAGAGAGAAGAGAGAGAGGAGAGAGAGAGAGAGAAGAGAGGAGAGAGAAGAGAGGGGGAGGAGAGAGAGAAGAGAGAGAGGAGAGAGAGAGAGAGAAGAGAGGAGAGAGAAGAGAGGGGGAGGAGAGAGAGAAGAGAGAGAGGAGAGAGAGAGAGAGAAGAGAGGAGAGAGAAGAGAGGGGGAGGAGAGAGAGAAGAGAGAGAGGAGAGAGAGAGAGAGAAGAGAGGAGAGAGAAGAGAGGGGGAGGAGAGAGAGAAGAGAGAGAGGAGAGAGAGAGAGAGAAGAGAGGAGAGAGAAGAGAGGGGGAGGAGAGAGAGAAGAGAGAGAGGAGAGAGAGAGAGAGAAGAGAGGAGAGAGAAGAGAGGGGGAGGAGAGAGAGAAGAGAGAGAGGAGAGAGAGAGAGAGAAGAGAGGAGAGAGAAGAGAGGGGGAGGAGAGAGAGAAGAGAGAGAGGAGAGAGAGAGAGAGAAGAGAGGAGAGAGAAGAGAGGGGGAGGAGAGAGAGAAGAGAGAGAGGAGAGAGAGAGAGAGAAGAGAGGAGAGAGAAGAGAGGGGGAGGAGAGAGAGAAGAGAGAGAGGAGAGAGAGAGAGAGAAGAGAGGAGAGAGAAGAGAGGGGGAGGAGAGAGAGAAGAGAGAGAGGAGAGAGAGAGAGAGAAGAGAGGAGAGAGAAGAGAGGGGGAGGAGAGAGAGAAGAGAGAGAGGAGAGAGAGAGAGAGAAGAGAGGAGAGAGAAGAGAGGGGGAGGAGAGAGAGAAGAGAGAGAGGAGAGAGAGAGAGAGAAGAGAGGAGAGAGAAGAGAGGGGGAGGAGAGAGAGAAGAGAGAGAGGAGAGAGAGAGAGAGAAGAGAGGAGAGAGAAGAGAGGGGGAGGAGAGAGAGAAGAGAGAGAGGAGAGAGAGAGAGAGAAGAGAGGAGAGAGAAGAGAGGGGGAGGAGAGAGAGAAGAGAGAGAGGAGAGAGAGAGAGAGAAGAGAGGAGAGAGAAGAGAGGGGGAGGAGAGAGAGAAGAGAGAGAGGAGAGAGAGAGAGAGAAGAGAGGAGAGAGAAGAGAGGGGGAGGAGAGAGAGAAGAGAGAGAGGAGAGAGAGAGAGAGAAGAGAGGAGAGAGAAGAGAGGGGGAGGAGAGAGAGAAGAGAGAGAGGAGAGAGAGAGAGAGAAGAGAGGAGAGAGAAGAGAGGGGGAGGAGAGAGAGAAGAGAGAGAGGAGAGAGAGAGAGAGAAGAGAGGAGAGAGAAGAGAGGGGGAGGAGAGAGAGAAGAGAGAGAGGAGAGAGAGAGAGAGAAGAGAGGAGAGAGAAGAGAGGGGGAGGAGAGAGAGAAGAGAGAGAGGAGAGAGAGAGAGAGAAGAGAGGAGAGAGAAGAGAGGGGGAGGAGAGAGAGAAGAGAGAGAGGAGAGAGAGAGAGAGAAGAGAGGAGAGAGAAGAGAGGGGGAGGAGAGAGAGAAGAGAGAGAGGAGAGAGAGAGAGAGAAGAGAGGAGAGAGAAGAGAGGGGGAGGAGAGAGAGAAGAGAGAGAGGAGAGAGAGAGAGAGAAGAGAGGAGAGAGAAGAGAGGGGGAGGAGAGAGAGAAGAGAGAGAGGAGAGAGAGAGAGAGAAGAGAGGAGAGAGAAGAGAGGGGGAGGAGAGAGAGAAGAGAGAGAGGAGAGAGAGAGAGAGAAGAGAGGAGAGAGAAGAGAGGGGGAGGAGAGAGAGAAGAGAGAGAGGAGAGAGAGAGAGAGAAGAGAGGAGAGAGAAGAGAGGGGGAGGAGAGAGAGAAGAGAGAGAGGAGAGAGAGAGAGAGAAGAGAGGAGAGAGAAGAGAGGGGGAGGAGAGAGAGAAGAGAGAGAGGAGAGAGAGAGAGAGAAGAGAGGAGAGAGAAGAGAGGGGGAGGAGAGAGAGAAGAGAGAGAGGAGAGAGAGAGAGAGAAGAGAGGAGAGAGAAGAGAGGGGGAGGAGAGAGAGAAGAGAGAGAGGAGAGAGAGAGAGAGAAGAGAGGAGAGAGAAGAGAGGGGGAGGAGAGAGAGAAGAGAGAGAGGAGAGAGAGAGAGAGAAGAGAGGAGAGAGAAGAGAGGGGGAGGAGAGAGAGAAGAGAGAGAGGAGAGAGAGAGAGAGAAGAGAGGAGAGAGAAGAGAGGGGGAGGAGAGAGAGAAGAGAGAGAGAGGGGGGAGAGAGAGAAGAGAGAGAGGTTGAGAGAGAGAGAGAGTGGGGAGGAGAGAGGGGGGAGAGAGAAAAGAGAGAGAGAGACAGCAGCCCAAACTCATACCACCATAAAGCCCTACTGGCCAACAAGGACCGCCCCAAACCATGTGGGCTGCAACAACTCGTATCCACCTTGTTCATCCGATACAGAATATTTACCTAGTGTTGAAAGTCATGTATACAAAATATTCATCTAGTTTTTCAATTCTCTCTATAAAATGAAATATTTACAGTTTGGGAATTTTTTATATAAAACAAGATATTTACATAGTATATATATATATAATATAGAACTCATTAGACTTTAAAGGAGAACTATGGGGGTTAAGGCTTTTCCCCATAGTTCTCCTTAGGGTAACGGGAGGACACAAACTAGCGTCCTCCCGTCACCCTAAGCTCAGTATATAGGGAGCTACAGCACGCGGTATACTGAGACCGCCGCAGCCGGGACGGATCCCGACAATTATGTCTGGATCCGCTCAGCTGCGTGAGTGACAGCTGGCTCTACCTATCTAGAGGCAGAGCCAGCTGTACCCGCCCCCTCCCCTGTCCGTTACGCCAGTCAGCGCTGGCAGATTGGAGAGGGGAGAGGGGAATCCCTGCAGGTAGCCACTCTCTGCAGGGACAGGATCGAGAAGTGAGCGAGCGACGGTACTCGAACTATGAGGATGAGTGAAAAGCACTCACCTCATAGTTCTCCTTTAAGTTGAACTCGATGGACATGTGTCTTTTTTTCAACCTGACTAACTATGTATAGAATAAGAAATCTTTGTATAAAATATTACCCTAGTTTTTCAAATACTTCATATACAAAATTCCCTAATGGCTGATTCTTGTATTTTATAGATTATTAATATCTCGATTAGGAATTATTTTGTATAAAAATGCCCTGGTTGTTAATTATTTATTTATGACATACCCCATGGTTTAGGGTTTCTTAACCCCTTGCTGTCCGCGGTGTTACACCCCCCTTCCTGTCCCGGACATTTTTCAGTATTCAGCGCTGCGGTACTTTGACTGACGTTTATTCCGTCACGCAACGTTGTACTGAAATGAATTTTACACCAATTTTTGGGGGACAGAGAGCTTTCTTTTCGTAATATTTATATTACCACTGCGGGGTTTTTATTTTTCACTATACAAGGTACCGAACATTTGGTGGAAAAAAACAGTTTTATGTTATAAAACACATTATTATTACCCAATTTTTTGGTGAAATATAAAAGTCGGGGTCACGTCGGGTAAATAGACACCAAACACGTCAGGCCTCAAAATTGCGTGCGGCGGGGAAATCGCAA